CGCGCGGCTTCCTGCCCCTGCGAGGCGGCGGCTCAGCGGAAACCAACGCTCCCCTCCCCTCCCCGGGGCGGTCCCAGGGAGGATGAGCCCGCGCTGGGGGAGGGGGCGGCCAGAGTCCGCCTTACCGCCCCTCAGGCTTCCTCCTCCTGGGGTCCACACATCTCCTCAAAGATCCGCCCGCGTTCTGTCCTCGGTCCGGGCACCACCCGATCCAGGCCGCCACTACCTCTCCCTTGACTGCACTCCCCGCACTCTCCCCTGGCGGCACCGGCGCCGCCACCTCCCCTCTCCCCGCCTTCCGTCTCTGCACTCCCTGCCTCCGCCTACTCGGCGCCCTGCGTTTACACCCCCTCTTCAGCCTGGTAGGATCCTTGCATCCCTCCTCCCCTCCACTTGCTCCGAGCCCTGCACACCCCCTCCCAGCCTACGACCTCGGAATGAAGTAGAACCCTCCAAATCAAAAAAGCCAGGGACGAGCCCTGGGAACTATTTTTCACCAACATAGAAAATACCAGCCAATAACAATTAGGCCCTTGGTTGGACAGGCCCCTCTGCTGTGGGCAGGTAGCTGTGCCTTGCTTGGATCCTGAGCCAGCCTGGCCTCCCTCCCTGCGGAGGCCCCTCTGGCCTTGCGGTGTGGTTCGCCCCCTCGTAAACCCACGGTCTGGCATCGGCCTCCGCACCGGGCCGGCCCCTGTGTTCCGCCCTCCCCCATCTCTTGGGAGAAGTGTGACCGCCGGGCCTGGCGTGGGGACCAGCCCTGTCAGCACCAGGGACAGCGGCGGCACCAGAGGGCCTTTGGGGTGTGGTACACATAAGAAGCTATCCCCACATGGGTCCTCTTGGGTGCCTGGTACCGTTCCTCCTTCGGAAACAGCCCCCTCAGCTGCCACCTCTTCAGGAAGCCCGCCTGACTTCGGGTACTGGGGAGCCCTCTAGTCCGCAGCCCTGGTTCTGGGTGCCTCCCGCCCTGGTGGCCTGAAGGTTCAGTTCTCACTGGCTGCTCTCACAGTGGCCAGTTTGTTCCCCAATCCAGCGAGGCGTCCAGCGCTCTGGGCCCATCCGCATCTCCTTTTATTTCCCACTTTATTTATTTATTTATTTTTAATTTCATTTATTTATTTTTTTCCCCCAAAGCCCCAGTAGATAGTTGTATGTCATAGCTGCACATCCTTCTAGTTGCTGTATGTGGGACGCGGCCTCAGCATGGCCCGAGAAGAGGTGCGTTGCTGCGTGCCCGGGAGCCGAACCCTGGCCGCCAGCAGCGGAGCGCGTGCACTTAACCTCTAAGGCATGGGGCTGGCACTATTTCCCACTTTAAAGTGACAAGGGTTCGGAGAGAGCAGTGCCCCTAGATAAATGCCTCCTGACCTTTGCCCTGGGGGGCAGTGGGTTGTGGCTGGTCTGCCCCCTGCCGGGAAAGTGGGAAATCAGGCTCTAAATTGCTCGACCTACTTTTTCAAAACAAACTAAAACCTGAGTTTTTATGTGAAATCTGATTTTTAGATATTGGCAACCAAATTAAAACATGTCAACTGGGCTAACGGACACATCTGCCCACAAATCCGGACCCTGGGGCCAGGGGATAGATGAGGAAGGAAGTGGGGTCTGAGTCCTAGCCACCTTCACCTGACCTTGGCCAGGTGCCAGCCACCCTCACCTCAGTTTCCCCTCTGGGAGCCAGTGTCCTCTGCCCGAGCTGCTCTGCTCCGGGCATCCTCCAGGGCCCCACCTGGGGCGCCTTTCTTGGGCATGCCAGGTGTTGTTAATGGAGTGGTAGCTGAAGGGTGGGGAGGGTTGGGAGTGCAGGCTCGGTGGTGGGAACGCTGAGGGATGTGGGAGGGATGTGGAGCGGCCTTTGTCTGCACAGCCTGGAGGGAGCCACGTTCCCATGGCGACCGACCCGCCCCTTCCCTGGGCTCTTTCCCTGAGGGAGTGGGGGTGTCTGCCTACCAGAGGGGAACCCGCCCTAGTCTCCCCCACCACTCTCACAGAATCGGGTGGGGAGTGGTCGCAGCTGCCCATAGCCAGCCTCCTCCCTGCCCCGCTCAGCGGGTCATGCAGAGACCCTCCCTCACCATCAACACACTGCCCGCCTGGCCCAAGGCACACAGGTCCCAGCCCCACCTTGCCTTCTTGGGAGGGG